TCACGCCGCAATCCCTTCTCCTCCATTCTCCTCTTGGGATCTTGGGCACGCACGCACACACGCGCCCAGCGTGAGTTTTAAGCCACCGGGTCCGGGATGCGAACCGCGGTCAACAACGTGGGAGTCCAGCGACATAGCCATTACACTAACTGCTGGTTCTCATGAACTACTTATTTATTTATTTATTATTTAAAAAATTTTCTATAGGACGAGAGAGAGAGAGAGAGAGAGAGAGAAAGTTGCCAGGTCCAGGACCTGGACTGTGGTTGGCCATATACAACCTGCTGACCCAAGAAATACATATTAGTAATTTTGTCTTCATTTTACAGATAATGAAACCATGGCACAAAAAGTTTACATAATTTGCTTAAGGCCACAGAGCCAGAAAGTGGTGCAACCACTATTCACACCTGGTGGTTTGTCTCTAGGACCTGTGTTTTTAACCACCACCTTACACTGCCTCTCATACATGCAGTCATACAAATAAATGAATGAATAGATGGATAAATCAGTATTGGTATATGTGACTATTTTGTTATTTGCTTTCGGTAACAGAACTACTTTCTTTCTTTCTTTCTCTCTCTTTCTCTCTTTCTTTCTTTCTTTCTTTCTTTCTTTCTTTCTTTCTTTGTTTCTTTCTTTCTTTCCTTTCTTTCCTTTCTTTCTTTCTTTCTTTTTTCCTTTTTAATTTGCCAGAGAAAGAGAGAGAAGGAAAGTGAGTAAGCACTCTAAAATAGGAATGGTCACACCACTATCCCTTCTTCTTCATTTCTTTTGGACACTCGTATGTGCCCAGCATGTTTTTCAAGTTGCTGGGTATGAAACTTGAACTGTGTCATGTGGGATCCAGCCACCTTCTCCACCATGCCACCAGCACCGCCAGCACCACCAGCACCACCAGCTGGCTCCACAGAAGAATTCTGTAAACTGACTCTGGACAGTTCATGCCAAGGGAGCCCTAGCTGTTCTGAGCCTCAGAATATGGCATGGGCGTGTCCTCTGGGTGCCATTTCGCCCTTGAGGAAAGTGGGCTTAGAGTCGAAATTTGAAAAGGCTGTATTAGGATCCTAGTACAACCCAAGGAAGGAGAATAGCCAAGAAAAATGACCTGGACTTCTGCAAGGTTGGCAAATGAGAATTTGGAGAAGAACTGATTTGGTTAGAGAGATTAAGAAGCATGGCTTTCTTTGAATATTGAGCAGCTTGTACCGTTTGGGTACATTTAAAAATGTTCAGTGATTCACTCCAGCTTCTGAACACTTTGTGTGGTCTGTCACAAGCACACACAAGTATTTCTCAACTCAACTACTCTGAATCTGTCCCTCATTGAATTAGAACCTGCAAACTGCAGTCTACACCTGACTTTTCTATTCTCACTCCATTATCTTCCCCAGAAATAGGATTTGAATTCCAGTATCAGACCAAGAAATGAGAGTGGAATTTTCTACGGCATTCCACCACAAAACTCCCACTGCTTTAGGCTCATCTTGCAAACATTATTCATTCTCATCCTCCTCTACAAGTAAGAAAGTCCCTGATTTTTAGCAGATACAAAGCCACCTGGAATAAAATCTATACTTCTTGGTTCCCTTTGCAATCAGGTGTGGCAGGTTCTACTCACCCAAGAGTTCATTTTATGTCGAGATATTTACAAAGATATTTGATTCTACAATCGTAGGGAGAGACTGGCCAACCCTGCTTACCTCGATGGTGAAGATAACAGGTTCTAGATCTTCATAAGTGATCTTTATCATTTCGATTGCTTGCTTTGCCTGTACATCTGTCTCTGCAACCACAGCACAGATGATCTGGCCCACGCAAAAGACCTATGGAAAGTACATGCAAGAAACAGAATCTTCTGGATGAAAACAAGATTGCCTCAACCTTACCAGTGGCTAGCGTCTTAGATGTCATTATTGAGCAATAGAAACCACAATGGGGTCACATTCAATACATGTGCTTGGTTAAAGACTTTAAAAACTTTTTAACACAAAAGATAATTTAAATAATGAAGACAGTGTCGTTGGCCGTTTTATTAAGTAACTGTAAAGCCCAGAGTGAATGAAAGTATACTATATCCTCTGTTCAGCTTGGTTAACGTGAGTTGCCTTTATGCTGTCATTTTCGAGTTTAAAGATAAGAAAAAGTATTTTTCTGTACAATGTGGATCCTGCTTTGGACTAAAACGTGTCCCTCCAAAAGCTGTGGGTTGAGGATCTGACCTCTAATGTGGCTATCTTTGGAAACAAGACTTTTAAAGAGGTAACTAAGGTTAAATGAAGTAATAAGGATGAGGCCCTAATCCATTATGACTACTGGTCTTGTTATTTATTTATTTATAAAGAGAGATTTTCACTATAGGTCATGTGCACTAGCCGGAGAGATGGAGAGAGACAGACAGAAAAGTCAGAAATCACCCCCCAGGGAGGATGGCCACACTGCAATCCCTTCTCTTTCATTCTTCTTTCAGGATTTTGGGCATGCATGCACATGCGCCTGGCGTGAGTTTTAAGTTGCCAGGTCTGGTATTTGAATCACGATCAACTATGTGAGAGTCCAATGACGTAACCATTATGCCATCTGCTGGTCCCCAAAGCAAGTATGTGATATTTTATCGTGGTAGTCAGATCAGACTAATACAGCTCCTAAATAACAGCCAACCTCTTCATCTGAACTTCAACAACAACAAAAAAGTGATTTGTGCCATGCCGGAAGAGAAACATTTTGTGCAGGACTCATTGAGATGCAGCAATAGCGAGGACTTACTGAGATCTTTCACATGCCAAGCACTATCCTAAGCACTTTACATGTGTTAGCTCATTTAAAAATCACAACCACATAACCAAGTAGTGCTGTCATTATTCCCTTTTCAGCGATGATAAAGCCCAAGACACATAGCCATACATGGAAGAGCTAAACATGAATCTAGGCAGTCTGAGTCCAAAATCAAGTGCTCAGTGAAGGACTGTTGACTTTGAATTACACAAATAGTCAGAGCAACTTCACTAAGAATGGAGCATGCAAAGGTGGATGGGAAGTAGGTGAAGTCCAGGAGAAGGAGTTGTGAGTTCAGTGTCAATAAGACGGAGTGTATTTTTTTTAACTCTCTTTTCTAGATCTTTCCAGAGTATTCTATCACAATATAGACCTGTTCTTTGCATTTACTCTTTAGAAGAGGGTAAATGGGCTTAAGAGCACACAGTGGCAGAACTAGGATTCACTGCTTTTCTGTAGTAAGTTTCCTTTTAATATCGCTAATTCTTGACTCCAGAATTCTAGTAGGATGAGTATATACATTAGGGGTGAGGGAAGCTGGAAGGCTTGGTACTTCTATCCCTTAATGGCAGAGAGAGCTGGAAGTGATACAATGCTGGTTGGAGGTGGCACCTTGGTCAGTTGTCTGCACAAAGCCATATGGGAAAGCATGTCACACACCTACCTCATCTACAGCCAACAATCTGTCATCTTCAGCCCCATTGGTGCCCGGAATGTCTTCAGCTGTTATCACGTCAACCACCCCAGGTAGTTCCAGGGCCTCAGCTGAATCAATTGATCTAAACAAGATAATTTATATGTAAATACACACAAATGTATGTCTAAATGTATTTATAAATATATATTTCTAATTTTTCTTTCTCTCTTTATTTCTTTCATGAGAGGGAGATAGAGAAACAGGCACTCCCAACACGGTCTTTATACCACTGGCTTAGGCAGCCTGGATCATGGTCATGCTGGTGTGTGCACAGAAAGGTATCAGGATATGAACCCAGGACCCTTCCATAGGGGACTAATTGCATTACCACTGCACTACTGCCTGGTCCCAGAAAGATATTTAAGAAGTCAGGGGAACCAGCAGTTAGTGTAATGGCTATGTCGCTGGACTCCCACATAGTTGACCATGGTTCGCGTCCTGGACCCGGTGGCTTAAAGCTCACGCCGGGCACGTATGCGTGCGTGCCCAAGATCTCGAGAGGAGAATGGAGGAGAAGGGATTGCGGCATGACCATCCCCTCTGGGGGATGATTTCTCGCTTTCTGTCTCTCTGTCTCTCTCTGTCTGTCTGGTGAGTGCACGCGCCCTATAGCGAAAACCTCTATAAAAAAAAAAAAGTCAGCAAGCTTTAAGAGCCCCAGATTTAAAAGAGAGTTAAAGCATGGTTGAAAATCAAAATATATCATTAAGAATCCCGCTTAGGTCCTAATCAGTCAGAACGAACCTGCAATGGAGTAGGGTCTTGGAGGGCCCCTCACTGGACCAGTAGGTAACACCTCAGCTGCCAGGGGAGGTGTTGTAGGGGGAGGGCCTATGTGGTTGTGGCACGACCAGCTATGTGAGAGCTCAGTGACGTAACCATTATTCAGAAGCTTAATATGGTGCTGTTTATCGTTCAGAAATGAAGTAGGCATTGGAATGCTTTATAACCAGCTGAAAGCCCTGTATCAGAGTCATTCCTCTGAGCCATGCCTGAAGCCACACCAGGGAGAGGAGGCTTTTATGAGGTTAAGGGCCTGTAACCATAATTTTTATTCTTTCATGATGGCTATTTCCAGACACTTTCCTTTCTTTCTCCTGGGACTGAGAGCCTTTTCTTTATTCATTCCATTTTAGGCTCCTTATGTCCCAGACATTACAGGAGAATGGGTACATTCCACCAAAGGAATCCATAGGGATGCTTTTGAGAGCATTTTATTTACTTACATGATTTTTGCATGAGCCCGGGTACTGGTCACCAAAGCCATGAAAAGCTCTTTATCCACCATGGGGATGTCGTCACAAAATATGGCTTCCCCGGTGGCATGTTTAAGGCCTGACAAATGCATGATGGGGCGTCCCACTGGGTCTTGGAGAGGCTGGTGAGGAGTGACGCTCTACAGAAAAAGCAAAACTTTCCCTAAAAACCTTTACTTTTCAGAAGTGGCCTGGACGAACACCAACACTGTGGATTCAGGATTGAGCAATTGGATATTCACCCTTGGCAACAAACACTGGAGTGGGTCAGATGACGGGTGTGACAATTTATGATGTAACTAGGATGGGGAATTGCCATTTCAGTTATGGAATGCCTCCATTGTGTGGCAATGCCTTAGACAGGGCCAATGTTTTGACAAAATGGTAAAGGAGGTGAAGGGGCACTGTATCTCTTCTTCATGAATTTAGCCTCTCTGTTCTGCTTGTTCATGTTGGCAATAATCAATCCAAATAGATATAAAGTGATCGTGATGATGAGGCTTAAAGTGGTTTAGTTCTTGGGGTCAGTAGGTGGTATGATGAGGCTTAAAGTGGTTTAGTTCTTGGGTTCAGTAGGTGGTAGGGTGGTTGGGACACTGGACTCCCACATGTCCAGCCAACCACATTTCAAATCCCGGATAAGGTGGCTTGCTTTCTTAATTTCTTTCTTTCTCTCTGTCTGTCTTGAGTGAATACACATACCCTATAGCAAATTAAAACATAATTATAATAAGGTAAAATAAATAATTCTTTTAAAAAAACATAATATAGTTCTCAGGTTGGGGGACCAAAATCTAAGCCACTGATACCAACTTGATCAGGCTGCTGGTAGAGGACAGGGGATGGCAATAGACCCCCAGACCCAGATTAATAAAGGTGCCCTGAGTGTCCTCTAAGTGTAAGCATCACTAGGAGTTTAAGGAGTTGGGGAGAGTGTTTATTCTGAATCTCTCCTCTGGGAAGGTGTTTGTGTGTGATGTGGATGGGGTGGGGCCGTACTCTAGCAAGAATAGGCCATTTCTGAACTGTCCTAAGGAGGGAGAGAGTTCAGTTCATTTCAGGACTCTTGTTTGCAGACTGGAGATTAAGCAATCAGGGCTGGAAGCTGAACCTTCTGGCTCAGCTCCTCTTCTCAGTAAATATCAAAGAAATGCCCAAAGAATATAACTCTTAATAGACTATAATGATTGGTCTATAGATCAGTCAGCTGGCTCATCTTGGAGTACATCTTGCAGCAGCTTCAGCCTGACCTTAGATTCCAGCTAACCCCTGTTGTGGCCTAAACAGGGCCAACGTGCTAGAAACAACTAGAAAACCAGAACTAAAAATTGCAAATCTGAAACACTTGCTCACTTAGTATAACTTTAGCTTATCTCTTCGTTTCTAGGTTTCAGTTAAATAAAACTCACTGACCTGGTATGTTTGGACTCCCTGGGGTATTGTGAGTGGGAAATCTTCTAGAGCACTTAGGAATCGGTCTGGAATTTCAGGATAACGACGGCTGTCCTGAGAGATGATTCAACAGAATAAAGATAATCTGGTTAGTATATGACAAAACCTAGGTTTATATGAAAATGACGTGGCTAGTGTAGTCAGGGCAGCTGGTCAACCAAAATCTATATTGCCTCCAGGGCTCTCACTTCTATGACTGTTTCTTGCCACCAGTGCCTCCTCTTTTCCACTGAAGAGGACTAGGGCTGCTTGTTTGATATGATCCTTGAGTCACCCTGAGGAGGGAGAGGCCTGCCAGTGAACTGGGGTAGGGGCAGCAGCAGCAGCAGCAAAGAAGCAAAGCCATCCCAGAGTAAGCAGAAGTCACTGAACATGAAAAGGCCCAATTCCTGATGTTTTTTCCCCTCAGAAAATCAGCTCTTCTGGAAGAGTAGTAGAATTTGGAAGAGTAGTAGAATTTGGAACACTTCAAGGGTTTTGACTCAGTAATTAAATGGCAGCAAGAATTATCCTTGTGAAATGTAGTTGGTGAGGGTCTTCATCTCAGTCGATGAAACTTAGATGCTTTAGCAACAGCAAACTTGAGAAAGGATGTGGCTGGGCAACTGCAAGTGCAAGGTATGGAGAAAGCTGTAATCCTGGTCAGAGGAGGAGGGAGGGAAGGAGGGAGGGAGAGAGAATATTGTTCTTTGCTTACCTTAACTTATTCCAGAAGTTTACAATCAGAAACTCTAGAAAGCTACTTAAGTATTAGCATACGCATCCATTTTGATCTTTTCTTAAATAAATTTTTAAGATTTTAGTTTTTCTATAAAGCATGTGAGCTTGCTGGAGAGGGACATAGGGGGAGAGAGAAAGAGAGAAAGTGAGAAATCACCCCCCGGGAGGATGGCCGCACTGCGATCCCATCTCCATTTTCCTCTTGGGATTGTGGGCACACACACACATATGCCCAATGTGTGCTTTTTTTTTTTTTTTGGGTCCGGGACTTGACCCACACTGTTGGCCATGTGGGATCCAGCAGCTTTCACCACCATGCCACCTGGCTGGTCCCAGTTATGATCTTTTTCAAAAATAGAATTTTATTTAATATCTCATGTTGGGTATAAAATTCTAGAATAGACAAAATGATTCTAGACTGCCACAAAGCAGGAGTGGGGTAGTGACACAGGGGGGCACAAATGTACTTTTTGGGGCAATGAAAATGTTTAGTTGAAGGTGGCTGCCACAGAAGTATAGACATGTGTCAAAATGCACTGAATTTAAAAGGATGCATTTAGTTATATGTAAATTACCCTTCAGTAAAGGTATGTTAAAAGAAAATAACTGCACACTGAAGGCAAGGACATTAGAATGTTCAGTGCTCAGAATCTGTTGTAAACATCACTTAGACACTGGGCTGATGGTAATTTGACACCTGAGTCTCATGGAGCCCCTTAGGGTTGGCTGAATCCTGGGAGAACAACCAACCAGGCCTGACCCAGAACAGGTGAGAGGTAGTGGCATTGGTTGCCCATGATAGAGTTGGCCACAGTAGTGGGAAAACTATGAGCTTATGGCTGCACAGAGCACATTAAACCAGATGTTATGGATTGAATGCGTTCTCAAAACTTCGTATGTTAAAGGTCTAACTCCCTAGTGTCTCAGAACGTGACCTTATCCAAATAAGCTGAGGTCTTTGCTACAGAAGTAATCAAGTTAAAATGAGGCCGTCAGGATGGGCCCTAACCCTAAATGATGGGTGTCCTTATAAGAAAGGGAAATTTGGACATAGACTGCACACAGGGAGAACACCATATGAAGGCAGAGACCAGGCTGATCTCCACAAGCCATGGAGCGGCAAAGACTGTCTGCAAACCACCAGAAGCTAGGAGAAAGGCATGGAACTGGTTTTCCTTCACAACCCTCTCCCCCCTTCTAGGACTTCCTGCCTCCAGAACCGTGAGATAACAATTTCTGTTGTTTAAGTGACACGGTTGGTGGTGCTTTGTTATAGCAGCCCTAGCCAACGAACACACCAGAGCACTCACAGGCACAGATAACAGCTTCAGGGGCTTCTTCAGTTCCTGCAAAACCTCCAAGTAGAATTTGAAGAGGAAGCTGACTACCAGAGTCCTTCTGAACTCCACTCTGCCACCCGGAGCCGAGCCTGGGAGAGAGACTTCATCCAGAAGCAATCTGCAAGCCTCATCCAGCATCAGCTCATTCCAGCGCCTGGTAGAGCAGAAAGAGCCAGTTAAAGGGCAGCCTCAATGGCAGGGCAGGTGTGGGACACTGGATGGCAACATTTTAGAGACCCTAGAGTTCCCTTTTTTGAGTTGGAGTGGATCTTAGGAAACACCTAGTCGAGCCCCTAAGGAAAATCAAGGCCTCGGGAGGTTGCATTAAGTAGTCCAAGAGTTATGGCAGAGTGAGATAGATCCATTCTATTGCAACATGAACCAAATATGCTGCAGAGCTAGAATATACTATGGCCAGGGACTAACTAAATAGACCAAATCAAGGATGTCCTTGATCTGTCACGTGCTGTATGCATACTTTGAAAAACCATATTGTGTGCTATAAAGATAAATAATGATCAGATGTGAATAAGAAGTCATAATATAAAGAGACCCCTTAGGGCCACGTCTGAACAGGTCTCAGACATGGATCTTGCCTTTACTGAGGAAGAAAGACAGTACCCAGCAATGAGAGTGGTAGGTGCCACTTGCATGCTGCCCAGTGTGGGTTTGCTGGAGCCTTGAACTGTGTAGGAGTATGAGGCCTGGATGAGAAAACTCACTTTCTGGTTGAGCTCAGGCCTGAGCTATTTTGTTGAATCCTTCACTCAAAGAGTGGCGATCAATTATTTGAAATCAATAAAGTTTAATTCGTTTAGTGAAATTACAGAAAGAACGGTGATTATATATTTAGTAGTTTTAGTAAGGGCTTTATGAACACTTGCCAGATCCAGATTTCCACTTTTTTTTCTCTTTTCTTTTCTTTTCTTTCTTTTTATTTGGCTGGGGTTGCCATAGGATGCATCCACTCATTGGAGAGAGACAGAGAGTGAGAGGGAAAGTGAGAAATTCCCCCCATCCCCCCGGGATGGCCATGATACAATGCCTTCTCCTCCATTCTTTTCCTGGAATTTTGGGCACATATGCGTGCATGCCTGGCATGTAAGTCTCCAGTTCTGGGACTCAAATTGTGGTCAGCCATGTGGGAGTCCAGAGTCTTAACTACCATGCAACCTGCTGGTCCCATTCACTTGTTTTTTCTAAGGTCAAGATTCACTCTCAGGGGGTGGGGCTCATTGATTACCTCCCGAGGAGCTGCTGGCAGGATTTCTGTGCACAGATGGTGGCAGCCCCTACCCCTCCGTAGGCAACACTCAGGTCCTCAATGGTGTCTGTGCCTTCTTTGAAAAGGACTCGCATGCCAGCATTCACATCGGGCAAGGCATTTTGCTGACACTGGGCCTGTCGGAAGGCTGACACGAATTCCCACTGTGGAGACAAAAACCACTTGGGGTTATCTGTTATGTCAAAACTATTGTAAAAGCATGGTTTATATTTCTTGGTGCCTCTAATTAATCACTTAGACTCAAACTACAGGGACACAGAAGAGAGTTGGCACAGTTCGAGCATCTTGACTACCTTCTCATTCAAAGTGAGAATGGTGTCCTCCCAAAGGTCCAGTCCAAGGTCCTGGACACCCTCAAGGAACAGAGATCACGTTGCACATTCTCCTGAGGCCAGGATCCCTCTGCACAGATGCTGTGGAAATACATGACTGGAACACTTCCGTGTGCTGAGTTCCCTATGGTCTTCACATGTCTGTCTCCGGTGAGGAGGAGGCCTCCTAACGCAGAGGCTTACACATGGTTTGTCTGAAGTACAGAAAGCCCACTGCATTCCTTGATTTGTAAAACCTTCTTTTTCATCTCGCAAACTCAAAAGAAAATAAAACTTTCCATCAGCGCACTGGGGACTCTTGTATCAGGAGCAAGAGTCGGAAAATGATGGCTACCCCAGCTGACTGAGGCAGGACCAGTGAAGACAGCCTGTGACCCGAAGTGCATTTCCTTCCGTGCAGCTCTTGATGGTGCTCTGCCTGCTTCTGCCTGCTGCCTTCACACAGAGGTGCATTTGCATGGGAACAAATGCAAAGTTTCCATTCAAAAGGAAACACTAATGAGGATCATCCATGGCTGAGAGCAAAACTTAACATCAGACTTCCCCCATAACCGAGCTAACTCCTGGCTTTGATCTTGTGAGTATGTTCGTGTGTTAGGAGGTGGGTATTTCTTCTCTCTGGGAAGATCCTCCTCCTGGATTCAGGTACAACCTCGGGGGCAGCACCAGGAGCAGGAGGTGAGGACAGAGGGCTACCTCCATAACCAGCTGGGCGACCACATCAACCGGAGGGATCATGGGTTAGCAAATGTCTGGAGTCCCTCATGCTCCTATGATCCATTAGGGTTGGCAGGAATGGGAGTGCAGAGGCAAGCCCTAGCCTCCATCCCTCTATGGGCGGGTGGCAGGAGAGGAGCTCCATATCATAGCCAGAGAGCTTTTCCCAGGGACAGAAGGAGGTGTGGCAGCAGGGCAGGCTCTCAGCAAGCTCCGCCCTGCACCTGAACTGACAGCCCAGATCCACACCCCAGAGAAGCTGGTCGCTCACAGCTGAGGGCCTTGATGCTGGACAACCCACAGAGGGATGACCCACAGAGGGACAGGAAACAGGCTTTCAGGACAGAGCCATTTCCCTTCCATCTGTTTTTAGATTTCTAAAGAGAACAGGACTCAGTTATGAAAAGGGAAAAACACCCCTCAAATGCAACCAATGGAATTCTTACCTTCCGAGAGTGAGGGATATGCACGGATTCCAAAATTTCCTTTGGCCTAAGGTCTGCACTTGCCAACCCAGCAAGAAAATATTCATTTAAAGGAATCTGCCGCGAGCCTTCTGTGGAAGAAAATTCATTTCTGTATGATCACAACAAGAAAAGCGAGATTATTCTGTACTTTCAAATGTTGGCAGGGGAGAAGAAAAGGTCAGCCTTCTCTGCACAGAGCGACACAGAGGTCTGAGTCTGTGGATGGTTGCAAAGATCCCTGCTCTCTCCACAGAAAGGGGCAGGGCGGCTGCTCCACGACATTTACTCTCGTCAGTGCACAAGCCATGTGTACTGAGCATCCTGCACCTGGCAGGCGTGGGTTCATCTTTCTGCAGAGGCTGGTTAACTGTATAGAGCCCATGGAGCCCTTAAGATCATGGTGTGTGTGGAGGAGTGGGGCTAGGGATGGACATTTGGAGGAGGGATACAGAGGCAGAGCAGTGACGGAATGGGGAGGTGTGGTGTTACCTGTTGAAGATATTTTGATCAATGGGACTGGGGAGAAATGTTCACATATTGAAATGTTCACTTCATAAGCTAAACAATGTCATTTAATGTATATAGAAAATAAATTAATTAATAAAAAAAAGAGATGAGACCAGCAGATGGTGTAATGGTTATGTCGCTGAACTCCCACATAGTAGACCGTAGTTTGAGTCCCAGACCTGGTGGCTTAAATCTCACACTGGGCGCGTGTACGTGTGTGCCCAAAATCCTGAGAGGAGAATGGAGGAGAAGGGATTGTGGTGTGTTCATCCCCTGTGAAGGGTGATTTTTGCTTCCTCTCTCTCTCTCTCTCTCTCTCTTTCTGTCTCTCCAGTGAGAAAACATGCCCTACAGCAAAAGTCTCTCTTAATAAAAGATTAATATGAGAGTCACTTAAATTATACAAGGTTTGTTGCACTATTTGACAGAGTTCAAATCATTGGATTGCTTTTTGATCTTGCTTCTGCTGCCAGCTTCTGAGACAGACACTTATACCCTTATTATTTTATTTTAAAAGAGAATTATTTATTTAATTTTACTTATTATTATCATTATTATTACTTAATTTGACCAGAGAGAGACAGGAAGGCAAAGTGAGAAAGCAAGCCTCCAGGTCTGGGGCTTGAACTGTGGTTGACCATGTGGGAGTCCAGCGCCTCAACCCCCATGCCACCTGCCAGGCCTTACACTTATACCTTTAAAGCAAAGTGCACAATTCACAAAAACTCTTGGTGATCACAACTATGCCCCTGGCTTGGAAAAGTACAGCCCAGGGACAACACGCCTTTGATCCCTGGGCTGACGGGGCTGCACTGGTGTAATGGAAGCCTGAATCAGTAGGATGGGTCTGGCTGGGCCTCAGGCAAAACTGAGTAGGGTGAGAGCTGGTAGCAGTGGTGGGGGGAACAAACACTTTCTCTTGGCCACCAAGTCTTTCCTTTTTCCTAACACCTCAGAATTCCCAAGAGCAGGGACTGGATCATGTCAGCTAGTAGATACCTCAGGGAGGGTGATGACACCCAGGATGCTGTTCCTGGTTGGATATACTCTGGAGGTATTGTGATGGCTCCTTCTGCAGCCCCGTGCGTGGGACACTGTCAGTCTACAGGAGGTACCAGTGAGTCCGTGATTGACTGGGCTAGTGGTAAGGACAGAGGGAGTGGGCAGTGGATGGGTTGTAGGGGAGGGAAGGGAGTAACAGAAGGGGTACTTTAGAGTGAGGGGCTGTGGGGAGAGCAGGCAAGTATATCTGCTGGGAAATCAGAGAAATGGGGTTCACATTTCCTATGGCGTGAGTGCGTGCCTCCTCTCAAACACAGCTGAAGTTAAGTTGCCATTGTAACAGTAGCAAGACGTGGGACCCTTAGGAGGTCATCAGGCCATGCGGCCATGGGTGGGGGTGGTGCTGTTATAAAAGGGTCAGTTTGGCCCCCTCTTGCCTTTGCATTTCCCACCATAGGAAGACACAGCAAGAAGGAACTCAACAGTTGTGCCCGGATCTTGAACTTCCCAGCCTCTAGAAATACGAGGAAACAAATTTCTGTTCTCTAGAAATGACCCAGTCTCAGGCAGTTCATTACAGCAGCACAAATGGACTAAGATAACATCCCAAGCCTCCCTTGACGAGTGACCCCACCTGGGAAGTTGAGGCTATTAGAGGTTAGATGTGTGACGTGTAGCCTGGCATGTAGGTCGCACCCAGTCAAGTGGCAGTAGCATCGCTGCTGCAGCCGGAGGCAGTGAGAGCACTGAGTACTTTGGGGAGATGGCATGGTGGTTAGTGAGGAGCCATCCCAAGGAATGTTGATCTCAGTCAGCAATTAAAATTAATTACTATCTTCCCCCTGCCTCCAGGGACCCACAAGTCCTTACTAGATGGTGGCTTCTTATACAGCCACTGGGGGGAAGGAGGACAACTTAGAGGCCTCTGTGGGGGAGGCCCTGGACTATGCTGTGCTGGTGGAGGGAGAGCCATGAGACGAGGAGGGTGCAGGAAGCAGAGAGTGGTCCTTCAGGCCATGGGAAAGGTGCTTACTGCAAATGCACAATCACTCCAGCCTCTGCAGACCACCCCTGGCATTTATGGGTCAAGCAAAAACACACCAGCTCACATGGGCTGACTAAGCATGTGATCCCAGGTTGTGTGCACAGGCATGTGTGTGATGTCAGAGGGCACATTAGCTTCGACTTGCATCAATAACCTTCTCTCACCAGCCTGAGCTTCCCATGGTGAGTCGAGAGCCAGGGACCTGGGCTCTGACTTGCAATAATTCCGTAAAAAAAGGAGGGGGCAGGCAATGGCACTGTGGTAATACAACCACATGGCGAAGGTCCTGAATTGGCATCCAGGTCCCCCGAGCACACTGGGTGTGGGTGCATGTCTGCGATTGAGCTTGACTGAGGTTGAGGGCAAATCATGGTGAGAGGATCCCGTTAGGGCATTGCTCTCTCTCAGAAGAAATAAGTAAACAAACTTAAATAATTAGTAAATAAAGAAGTAGAAAAGAAGAAACAGACTTAAGGTGCTGTTCAGACTGTTTTGAGGTAGTTTACCTTCTGATATCAGATTGAGAGTAGCATTGCCCACAGCAAGAACTGGATTCAGGTCAGAATAGCAATGCCGGCTTATGATGTGTCCCCCTAAGGACTGAGGAGAGAGAGTGACAGCTCAGTTATTCTGCCGCTTAATTCCTCTGTTCACAGACTGCTCATAGTCCTCACAGTGGCTGTGGAAGGGTCGAGAGGAATGCTGATCAGTTCAGCCCCTTTCTCCTTTGCAGAAGGAACACAGTTCAGAGTGCCAGAAGGACCCCTCCCACTGGCTCTCTGTGACCAGAAGAGGAGTTGAAGGTAACCAATGCTCCCTAACATTTCCACCTGCTAACCTCTGACACACATTTGCTCACACTGTCCTCACTACCACCCAGGGATTATTTCTATTTTACAGATGAAGACACTGGGGCACAGAGAAATGATCAAACTTGCCTAAGGTCTGGCCTGAGATTCGAACTTGAGTAGGGAGGCTGAATGGCCAATTCTGAGTCACTCCTCCCTAGCCTTGGCCACAGTACAGATGACCATGGTGCTGGCTAGAGAGATGCTGTTCTCTCTCTCTTTTTTTTTTCTTTTGGGAGAGATTTTTGCTATAGGGCACATGCGCTCGCCAGAAAGACAGAGAGAGACAGAGAGACAAAAAGCAAGAAATCACCCCCCCAGGGGGGATGGCCATGCCACAGTCCCTTCTCCTCCATTCTCCTCTTGGGATCTTGGGCACGCATGCACACGCTCCCGGCGTGAGTTTAAGCCACCAGGTCTGGGACTTGAACTGCGGTCGACTACATGGGAGTCCAGTGACATAGCTATTATGCCAACTGCTGGTCCCCAGAGATGCTGTTCTCAGTACATAGGATCTCAGCCTCATGTCTCATAGGCCTGAAATGGCTGGACTTCATGTGGGCCACGTCAGGGTTCTAGGGCATCTACACCATTGACAGAGGCTTGCTCTTTTCTCTCCTCGGGAGATCTCACTTGGGTTTGGTAGAGACTGTAGCATCTCAGTACTTGGGAGGAAATGGTTGGCTATTCATTTCAATACACTCCTCCCGACACAGGGAAGGACTCTACAGTGACCTCCTAGTTACTGTGGTCTGGGCTGGACATAGATGAGAACAGAGAACTCCTTTCCTCCATGAACAACTCAATTTTTTTTTTTAAAGAATGATTTTATTTAACATTATTTATTAATTTATTTTATTTTGATTTGATGAGAGAGAGAGAGAGAGATTGAGAGAGAGAGAGAGAGTGAGAAAGCAAGATGCCGGGTCTGGGACTCAAACCGCAGTCAGCCATGTGGGAGTTCAACACCCTTAACCACCATGCCACCTGCCAGCCCCGAACAGCTCAATTTTAAAGTTCTCTTGTTTCCCGAGTGCTGAAATCTGCCCCCTTGACTGTCATCTATCGGTCATACTTCTATCCTTCGTGATCATAGGTAATAAAACATCAGTCCAGGAGTCTCTCCTGTTTCCTGTGGCTGTCCTTCAACCTCCATCATTTCTCTTTTTGATAGAGTTTCCAGCCCCTTGCTCTCCTGCCACCAAATCCTTGCCAGACTCCAGGAAGTCTAGTCAGAGTTCCTGATGGGAAAGAACATTTTGGCATTAGTTGAGAGCTTTTTTTTTTAAAGTTTGTCCTAGGGTGTGTACACTCACAGAGAGAGACAGAGACAGAGAGAAGGAAAGTGAGAAAGTGCCCACCCAGGGAGGATGGCCATGCCTCAATTCCTTCTCTCTTCTTCTCTAGGGATTTTAGGCACACACGCACATGCATGGCATCTTTTTCAAGCTGCGGAGTCTGGAACTCAAACTGCTCTATTAGCCATGTGGGATTCTAGTCGCCTTAACCACCATGCCATCTGGCTGGTCCAACTTGAGAGCTTTTTCAAGGGAAACATGACCTGCCTCCACTTTTTAAAATAATTAATTATTTAATTTTGTTTATTATTGTTATTATTTTAAAATTTGCTATGGGCATGTGTGCTCATCAGAGAGATGAGAGCGCACGCGCGCGCGCGAGAGAGAGAGAGAGGAAAGAGAGAGAGAGAAAGTGAGAAAGCAAGTTGCCAGATCTGGGACTCAAACCATGGTCAGCCATGTGAGTCCAGTGCCTCAACCACCATGCCACCTGCTGGCCCCAGCATGACCTTCTGAGGTGGAAAGGAAGCAGACCTCAGTGTGCCTCCCAGATCTCAGCATTATTTACCAGCTGTAGTGTGATCAGTTCAGGGTAGACTTAGATACTATACTTCCATTAGTGCAGCCTAAGACAAAATTAGATTCTTTGATAGGTTTATTATGAAATTAGTAAAACCATGACGTCCTTTTCCTGACCTGTGCTGCTGCTCAGTCAATCTACTGAACTTGACTTAATAGTTGTCTTTAAAACGTTATATGAGGGACCAGCAGTTAGCGTAATGGCTATGTCACTGGACTCCCATGTAGTCGACCACGGTTCGCGTCCCGGACCCTGTGGCTTAAAAAAAAAAATGTTATATGAGGGACCAGCAGTTAGCGTAATGGCTATGTCACTGGACTCCCACGTAGTTGACCCCAGTTCGAGTCCCGGACCCGGTGGCTTAAACTGACGCCAGGCGCGTATGCGTGCGTACCCAAGATCCCAAGAAGAGAAAGGAGGAGAAGGGATTGCGGCATGGCCATCCCCCCTGGGGGGTGATTTCTTGCTTTCTGTCTCTCTGTCTGTCTCTGTCTGTCTGGTGAGCGCATGTGTCCTATAGCAAAATACCTCTCCCCACTCCCCAAAAAAGTTATATGAAATAACGTTTATCCCTTTAACTTTCTTATTTACTGTGCCTGTCATTTCAATCTGCTGAGAGCTTTTTGCTTTCTGATCCTGCCAATGCATATTTCCACATTTCAATGAGATTAAGAAATAGGCATGGTGAGCCCAGTGATGGAAACCAGAGAACATACTGCCATATTCCGGATCTGCTGGCCCGCCAGATGTGGTAGGTGCTTCAGGAGCGCTCGGAAGGTCTGAGTTTTCTCCTCTGGGAGCTCCAAGATCCTCTCAGCCAAGATGTCTCTCATCTGGGCCAGGCTGCAGCCAGCACCGATTGTCAGTCCTGGAAAGCAAAGTGTTTTCACTGGCGACAGGGGAAGAGCAGTTGCTTTGTGATCATGGCACCAGGGATCTAGCAATCTGCTAGGACTGTGGTCGACAAGCGGGCTGCACAGAGAACCCCTGAGAACTCAAAAAACATTTTGTATGCTGTAAAGATGTACAGTGATTAAAAATATAAATTTTAAAAAAGGGTATTGCCCACCCACTAGATACCTCCAAAAAGAAAAAATAACAACAAAAAACTAGTGGAATGATTATCAAAGGTGCACAAAATAATGTAATGTTCTTTATTGACAGTGATGAGTATGTTTATATCTTTGATTCGATTATCACACATTGTATACATGCTTTGAATTGTATGTACCCCACAATATGTATGATGATTATCTGTACATCAGAAATTATGATAAAAAAATAATAAAAAGCTCTCCAGGTGATTAATCTGTGCAGCCAGAGTTGGGAACCTCAACACTGATCCAGACTCTTCCTTGGACACACAAAAAACCCCAGAAGCTAGAAAATGTAATGACAGTAACAACTTGCTGATGGTAGATGCCATTAGAGAACTTTCCAGGAACCCGTCCTGACTGACCATACTGAAACTATGTGAAGTTGCTTCACATAGGTTATTCAGTTCCCGAGACCATTGCCTAATGTCAATAATGGCTGACTGCAGGTTTTACACCTCTACAGGTAGCTCTGATAATCAGTTTCTTCCACAACCATGCAAGCAGTTGCCCTGGGGCATGATGTGGGGTGGCGTTGGGTATGGGGAAGTTGGGGGAGCATTAGGAGAGCATCTAGAAATGCTGGGGTAATATTGTTTGCTAACCAGTAAGGAAGTAATTAAAAGTTTCAACAATGGTTGCAGCCAGACTCGTGAAGATTGGCAGGTTATTAGCATGAGCTTCAGGGCTTTTCTTTGGTTGGCAGGAAAGGGTTCAAATCAATCTTCAGAAGTGAAGTAAGCACTCAAACCATTAAAACCCCCCACAAAACTTAGCCTATAAAAATGAGTCCTTCACTTCCTGAGATTTGCAGAACGAAACACTAACAAGCAGAGTTTGATTGGGCATCACTAGTGGAGTTGGGTTCTAATTGCAATTAGTTACATCAGGTTTCAAGTTGAGCTTTGATTTATTTTTTTCTTTTGTTGATTAATCTTCAACAATACAGTACTTAACTGTCCCACATAGCTATGTATTATATATATTAACGATGTGCTTGGTACAATACCCCCCACCCCACCTCTGCCAGCCTACCCACACAATACCCATGCATCTGAAGCTTGAGCACCTCCATTTTGAACATGACTCCACTGCCATTTCCCTGTCCCTGTAACTTGACCCAATGTGTATCCTACAAATTCCTCACTGAATGCTTATCATCAGTGATGAACACTGCCATCCATCCCCGTCCTCCTAACTGAATATTTATCACCAGTGGATGCACCATTTATCACCAGCAGATACAGCCAACTAGGACTATCCAGCCAATTATAACCGTCCTTCCTGATAACTCACTTTTTTGGCTTTTGTTAACTGCTTTCGTATAACTCAAGGCCTGTACTTTCTTAGATGTGTAGTTTTTTTTTTTTTTTTTTTCCTTTTTATAAAAGTTTTTACCCTTATAAACCTTCTTCCCCCCTGCTTTGGGCCTGCAAGATTTTGGAGTGACATGAATCCTCTTGCAAGTCACTGGCTTCATAAATGGCTCCTTTAATTTGGTTAAAATTGGATGTCCTCTTATTCTCATGCTGATTTGAATATGACACTTCAATAATATTAACTAACTTAACTGAAGCCACTAGCTGATCCTTTTTATCCTTATGCTAAACATAACTTGCCTAAAAGTAACCAAACTGGGCCTTCTTCCTGACATGTCTTGGCCTGGAGTCCTTGCCCCGTTTCTGTTTCAACATATAAAACGTACCCTGTAAGAGGTGCCTTGATTAATTTCAGAGTCATCAGTGATGGTCTGTTGTTTCCTTCTCACCACAGGCTCCACTGGAACCTGGTCTTTAGCTTCAGCAAACATTCTGGCTCTATCTTTGCACTAGGAAACTAAGCTGTTTCTTGTCATATGATTCTTTCTCCCTTGAGAAGACGCAGAGTCTTATTAGTAGGGAAGAAACCAGAAACAAAAAGGTATTAAGGCCAGGGGAATCAGTAGATGGAGTTATGGCTACGTCGCTGGACTCCCACGTAGTCGATCGTGGTTTGAGTCCCAGACCTGGTGGCTTAAACTCATGCCAGATGTGTGTGTGTGTGTGTGCCCAAGATCCCGAGAGGAGAATGGAAGAGAAGGGATTACAGTGTGGCCATCCACCCCTGGGGGTGATTTCTTGCTTTCTATCTCTCTATCTCTCTGTCTGGCAAGCACATGTACCCTATAGAAAAAAGTGCTCCAAAAAAACAAACAAAAAAATTAAGGCCAGAAGCATTACATGCCTGACAGGTGTCACTGCCTATTATTTGACACAGGCAAAAAGGGGCAGTTCAAGGCTGGCCCTATAGCTCGGAAGTTAAGGGAGCTGGATCTCACATGGCTGACCATGGTGTGATCCCAACTTCAGTGGCTTGAAAAACACATCAGGCATGTGTGTATGCATGTCCAAAATCCAGACAGGAAGGAGGAATGGAAAAAAAAGATTGTGGCATGACTTCATCCCATTGGGGAATGCTTTCTCTCTGGTGATTGTATATACCCTTTGTCAATTGTAAAAAAAAAAAAGAAAGTAAAAAAATAAAGTTCAACCCCTGCAGGGAGTGAAATGCCAGATGTCTGCTCTATGGCCTGAGTCCTCATAAGATTTCAAAAATTAGGTTGAAGCCAGACAACCCATTTTGAAATTTTTTTTTTCTATTTCTATTGCTTACATTCTTTCCCT